ACAAACCCCTCAAGTTGTAACTCCATTTCCTTGCCAGATCATTGAGTTCTCCGTGTATCCCAGTGCATAAAACAACGTACAAGACAAATGTCTCACTCCTTGTACAAAGGTCTCACATTCAAATGCTCTGAGTAATAGAACAGCTCATTCAAAAATATTTTTATGATGCACACTGGATTCTCACAGGCACTGAACTCTTCAGTGAATCCCTGCATTAACCAGATACCTAACACCCAGAAACAACAAGTCTTTCTAAGCCCTTACTGAGCAGGGGGAAAAAAAAGCTTTTTTCAGGCTAATTACTTCAAATTGTATTTTACACTGGAAACAAAGAGATCTTTGTGTCAGGAATTAGAGAAGACTACACCTCAGACACACTGTGGAAACAGATAAAAAGATCAGTGGCCTCGGAAGAAGGAAGAGTGCATTAGAAGGAAGAGCAAAGTCCTCAGTTTTCATGAAAGGAGCATTCAGAGGGATGAATTCAGCCCTCTCAACCACCCCAGAATGAAAGAACGTGCTCATTAACCAAAGTTCACATTTCAGGTGAAAGACAATTTGCTAAGACCTTTAAGGGAGAAAAACACAGCAACATCAAAGTCAACCTAAAGTCAAAACATTGACAAAATTTGGATAATCTTGTATCTCACCAGGTATTTGCAAGTACTGAAGTGCAAATGAACCGTGAGCTCATCTTTAAAAATGCTTTTACATGCAGGAGCAGAAACCAAAGTAATAAATACAAATCTGCCAAGAGACACTTCTTTATTTTCCAGTTACAAACATTCCCAGGCTACAGACAATAAGAGAAACTCTTGTAGTACATTTAGTCTGAAGCATCCAGCAGCTACAGCAAACTCCAGCCCCAAGAACCAGCTCTGGCAGTTTCACAATTAACTCAGCTGAACTGAGCTCTCCTGCACTCATGGAAAGCTTGAAAGGAATCAGGTGTTCCCTTACCTGCAGGGGTAATCTATAAAATCCAGAAAATCCATGAATTGTAACATTTTGGCTTATTAAAAGACAAATCCTCTCTCTCTCATGTAAAACCAATGCATTCGTGAAAAGAAAAACAAACAAAAAAACTAAACCAAAATAAAATCAATGATGAAACAAAAATATAAAAAGACCAAAAAACCCCAAACAACCACTTTATCTGTATGAAACTTTTTTGAGTTACTGGACATTCATAACACCTACCTTCACTCAGAAATACTATTCTTAAAATCATTAATTATTATTAAATATTCTGTTGAAATACTCAAAGTTTTCACAGTATTCCAGGAGAATGGTTTAATCATTTTTGTGTTTATACTGGGGTTTTTTGCTATTTTTTTTTCCCCCTCTGTAGCTTGATAGAGAACCAAATAATTTCTGTGGTTGGCCAAAGTGACAACATGAGTGAGGCTTTAAGAACAAAGGCAAGTAGGATCCCCTGTCACACCACCACAGTAATGAAGACGCCTGTCATGCATCAGAAAACTACACGACAGAAAATCCCAGAGAAATGGATAACCTCATGGAAAATACTAACTCTGCACCTTTGAGGCTAGAGACATCTGCTAACTTTGTCTGTTCAGGATGTACAAGGTAGCTGAAGCCTATTCATCAAAAGACAAAAGTAATAAATGCAAAGACAGTAATTTGTAATTTGCTATTTCCTTGTCAGATCTTAACCCTGTGGAGATTCACAGCATGCCTGATTTTAATTACCGAGACAGTGGCATGGAGAGGGAAGGGAAGAAAGGACTGGAGGCATTCAACTAGTAGCAATTCAAGGCCCTGAGTCTGCTAATATCCAAAAATGTTACTAAAACTGATGTTACAATCAAAGGCATGTGTTGGCCATTGCAGGCTCACGGCCACAGCTCAAAATGAAACAGATCCTAAAAAGCAAATGCTAACAACATTTCCATTTGTGATTCATTTTTTTTTCTTATCCCCCACTGTCAATGACACAAAATTAGGAGGAAAAAAAAACAGAAAAAAGCAGAACAGATGTGGAGGTTGCTGCTTCCCACATCATCATGGTCTCTCCAAGAAGGCTGTGACTCCCCGAGTGTCAACAGCTGTAAAAGACACCTTTGCCTTAACATTCCATTTCAGTGACTGCAGAGCACTGTTTTATAAACAGTTTTGCAAATGTTTTCTACGCACACCCAAAACAGTGTCACTGACTTAGGTGAAACTTTCAATGGCTTTATACCTAAATTCCTCCGCGGTCACTCAGGACTGCACTAAGAGCTGAAGTTCCTGGCAAAACAAAGTTCAGATGACAGCCACCAGCTAACTTTGAAATTCAGGGTAGAAAACTGGAATTCCTAGGTATCAGACTTGAAGCTGTACAAAACAGAACGTCGTTGTTTTGGATGAATAAATTGAATGAGTTAAGATAAAATGGCACCAGTTACAGCCCCTCCCCGAAATCAGGGATTCTAGTTTCTCCTGCTTTGAAGTATTAAATAATGGAAAATAATGGAAAAACTAGAGAACTAGCACCGAAAACAAGAAGTGGGCCTCTTATAAACCGAATTTTCACATTGAAAAATATGTTTTGAATGGAGATAGAAGGATCAGGCCACGCACGATGCACAGCTCCAAGGTGTGAAATGTCTTTTCTTTCTGGCCAGCAGCCCCACAGCAGAGAGAGGACAGTGGATGGGTCACAGACCAAAGGGCTTCCTTTTCCTGTCTGGCACAGCCAAAAGATTGAAAAAAATATTGTGCATTGGCCGGTTATTTGCTGTATGAGAAGAGATGCAGGAATTATAACCAGGAATACAAGAGCAACAAGTGGTGGACACTGAAACCAAAGCTAGCAAGTGCTTCATTAGCTCAATCTCTGTCATGTGGACTTCAAGACTTCTCTTATCTCCCCACAGTAGCCCAGAACCAAAGATTTCTTATATGTTTAAATCTATTTTGACCCTTGGGGCTTCAATTATTTGACTTCAGATGTTAGATTTTAATAAGCTGTCACCCGCAGGGGAAAAAATGAAGTAATTAATGTGACTGATTTGCCATTTACAGCTGGACTATGGACAGAAAAAGAAAAAAATCAACCATATTTCACGAATTTAGTTGTCACCAAGTGGAAAACTTCAGTACTTTTTCCCATCTGTGCATTTCACAGCAGAAGTAACTTCAGATTAATCTTGCCCTCTCTATTACTGCTGTATATAACTAGCACCTAATCATTACTGGGTGTTACCTCCCTCCAAATAAATCTGATGGGACGCTTTGTCTGCTTTCAGAACTGCAGAATGGCTCAGGATCATGAATTTGGAGCTATTCAGGAGGAGGCACAGCTCAGCACCACAACCTCCACGAGCGTGTGACAGCACAAGCCAGCTGGACAACTCGAGTCCAAATCCACTTCCATTTCCAGCCCTGCTCCCCTGGAGCCTTGAGCACAGTATCTCCTTACCTGAATGATAATAATGCCACACTCCCCGTGAGCTGTGAGGCAGGAGGAGATACAGGGCATCTCCCTCGCACCTTGGAAACTCTGCAGGCTCTTTGCACCAGGAGGAAAACACCAACTCACAGCCAGCCTGGCCCAGGAGAGGTTTCTTCTCCTCAGAGGGCAGGGGTTGCAGCGTTTCCATGGGTGTTCCAGGGAAAGGAGGCTGCCACACAATGCTGATGAAGTATTTCCAGTTGCTAACAACAAAAATGGTCATTTTGATGTTCTCCCACGTAAGCAACTTTTGTAGCTGACATATAGACATTGCACAATCACAAACGAGAAGGGAGACAGTCAATAGGAAGGGAGGAGGACCACATTTCTGATGATGGAGAAGAGTAATTAAAATATGATCTATGCTGCAAAGGCATGCCAGAGCCATCACTCGGTTAATATTTCAGCAGACACAATGCAGAGGAGCAATACTTTTACCTTCAGTAAAAGTAATTTACAGTATTTACTTCACCTCAAGTAAACAAAGCAGACTCCACCAAAGGTCACACCACTCTGGAGGGTACAAGATTCACTGAGCCAAGGCAAAGCACAATTTCTGAGTGGGAGGATTGGTTCTCAAACAACATCCTTAAGAAAAACCTGTTCCACCCTTTCTTCTATTGCCTGCTACTCGCTGGTTTGAAAGCATACTTCAGTGGAAGCTCAACATCTCGCTTTTCGTGGATACAATGCAAGCCCTAGTGGGGTCGGGGGAGGGCAGGAGCACCTGGAATTATTGCTGAAAATGTCACGAACCTGTTTTCCAAGGTGTGCCCAGGTCACTCGCACTCGGGCAATGCGTAAGGGAGCGATGGCGATGAGAGGGGCAGAAGGAGCCAAGGCGGCAGGGAAAGTTAGCGGAGAGAATGGAAGGGCTGAGCAGCGGGGGAGATGAAAGACAGCAGGAGAGAGAGCACCAAACAACCGCGGGCATCCAGCAGGATTATCCCACCCCAAAGCTGCTCTTTGCCCGCTACCAGCAACAGAGACGGAAAAGCCAGCTGAACCACGGGGTGTGTGGGGGGGAAAATACCCCGGGTGAGGACTGAAAGACGGGTCAGCTGGCAGAAGGTGAGGCAGGAGGAGGGAGGGCAGGGGCACGGATGGGGGCTCAGCCGGGGATGCCCAGCCCGGCGGTGCGAGCAGGTGTGGTGGTACCGCAGCGACAGGGGGGGAGCACACACACACACACACACACACACACACACACACACACACACACACACACACAGATTCCTGGGTGTACAGGCGGGGGGAGAGCTGCAGCAGCCACCACCGGGAGGGATTTCTCACCCCCCCCTTGTCCGAGCGCAGCGCCCCCGGGAGCGNGGCCCCGGCTCCAGCCCCCGGAGCTCTGCGGGCTCTGCAGCCGCCTCCCTCCTCCCGCTCCCCGGGAGCTCACACCGTGCAGAGGTGCTGAGAGCCCAGCCGGAGCCGGGCTGGAACGCGGGAGTTTAACATCGCCGTAAGCGCTCACCAAAAAAAAAAAATAATAATAATAAAAAAAATTCTTAAATACGAGGCCACACGCAAAACCTACCACGACTCCAAAGCAACATCCTTCCCTGAAGAAGTAGGTGCAGCTAAACCACCTTTTGGAACGACTGGTCTACGAGAACAAAAGTCTTGAAATGCCGGCTGAAATGTCCCAGCTGATGATGCTGTTTCCATGTGGCACCGCTCTGACAATTGACACGTGTGTCCCTATGGCACACCTGCAGGTACCGGAGTCATCACGCTACACTTCACTCGGGATTGCTGTAATCAGCCGCTTCCCCTCCTAAAACCGAGCGGCTCCACCACAACCTGTTTTCACCGATTTCTCTTTCAAACAAGTTTTTGCCTTATGTGCCTTATTGCTCCAGAAAAAAAGGGAGAAAGCATAAATCTTTTGGCGGCGTCAGACATATTCAAAGAACCTGATATTCAAAGAACTTCTATTCAGGTGGTGTATAGGAGAGCTAAGCTGATTTTTGAGGTTCTGCTCCCGATTTTTGATAGGATTCAATTGCCATTCCAGAAAGACTTACACACCTGTTTAATCCCGTTCCCGAGGCTCCTTGCAGGATTCACCAAGATCCCTTAGGAAGATCAGAATCGTATCTGGACCAAACTTTCCACTGTGTTACCCAAACGCAGCAACAGGTCCTTTATGCTACAAAGTTCCTGTGATTCCAGGCCCTCTCCAAGAAACCTGCGGAGGGAAAGTATAAACTAAGGAAGGAGCAGCTGCTTGCTGAAATTTCCACTCAGTTCCAAGAAATGAGACTTGGCAGGTCCTTGCTTTTTATAACACTCCGTGACTCATTTGCAGAAGCAGGTGAAGTCAGAGCCATCACTGCCAGAGTCCTGCCCCTGACGGCTGCTGCAGGGAGGACACGGATTTTCCCGATTTTGCAACAAAAGTGGACAGGATGATATTGCTCAGCTACTGTTTGCAGGAGTTTGGTTGCTGAGTCTCTTCTCGAGTGGTGCTATTCCATCCTCGAGCTGGTGTTTGCCAACAGATCTTCCTGAGATAAGGTGTGAGCTCTCCAAAGGGGGTTATTCCGCCAGGCTGGGGCTGAAGGCAGGGGCAGCAGGCAGGCGAGAAGCTCACTGTGGGCTCCTGAGAGCCAGGAGAGTAACCCGAGCCTGCAGATCAGGCTGGGAGAGGTGGGGCCTCACTGCACAATTGCTTAGGAGTTCACCTTAACCCTGCTTTAAAGGAAAAAAACGGAGACAGAGAGGAAGAAAAGCAGTTCAGCCAGCTTCCCCCTCCTGGCTCGGAGCTGGCAGAGCTCCTTGTCGTGCTGCATCTTCTACCTGCTCTGTCTTTGCTATTTTTCTGGTCCTGAAAGTCCTCCACAGGACAGGAAAGTGAAAAAAAAAAAAAGTGAAATAAATCCGCTTCAGTGTAGCCAAACAAGTATTGAGATACGCTTCCCTACTTTGTTTCCAGCAAAACTTCAAATCTTAAAGAATCTGATTATTCTGGATTAATCTGGTAATTTCTGTGAAAGAAACTTACGGGAACACTGACATTTCCAAGCTATGGCAGATGCCATAAGCACACACACTCCCTAGGTAAATAATAACAGTAATTGAAACTTAAAAAAATTATTACTCCATGAGAGGTAGAAAGAAATAAGAGAGATTTTCTTTAAATAAAAGGTTGGGGATAGCTTCAGTCCTTGGCAGCGATAAACAGTGCCTCTCTTCCCCCTTTTTCCTGGACAGAAGCCCAAGCCCACCCCCTGCTCCAATTCCCCTTAACAAAGGACAGAACACAAATGCAGAAGACCACTGTGGGCTGATAATTTTGTTTGCTTTCACTTGGAAAGAAAACATTTTAAAGGAGCAGAGACAACAAAGATGAAAGAAAATGGGATGTGAGAAGGAGAGAAGGATAAGTGGGATAAAGATTTGGGGAAGAATAAATTCTGTTTCTGTTCTCTATGACCTTTTTTTGAGATGTGTGCAGTAGGTGTGGACATTTATAGAATTATTTTGCATGAGTATGAAGTTCATATTGCTGCAGAAAGGAAGGCAGAACATTGTAACGCAGGGGATGAAGAAGGCATTTCACCAATGTTTGTCTGCTTGGGGAAAAGACAAAACAGGCCAAAGAATTTCCTTCTGTTGGAGATCAGCCTTTCTGGCTGAGTCTCTGAAGAGACTTTCTGGGCTGGGAACCTGCAGGAGGGTTTACACACCATGAATGACTCGCACAGAGCTCTGGCAGCTCCATCAGAGCCGACAGCCCCCTTTCCTGCCTGGAATGTGGCCAGGCTCCATGGCCCCAGCCAGCAATCTCCTCTGCAGGTGCACACGCTGGGGAACAAACCTGCAGCATCCTGGGGAGCACCTTTGTTCAGCCCCTGGTTCAGTCTGTGCAGTATTAGCTGCTGATACTGGAATTTCCACTCTCATTGAAAACAGGCACCGCTGTATCCATAGAGTTTTCAGAAGAAAAATACACAAAGCAAGCCAGAGTCCTCTATTGATTTAAAGGCACGTGCAGCTCAGTGAGAAACAGGAGAATTGTTCCTGATTTAGGTCATAAAAATGCAAGATAAACCCAGAGGAATCCACAGCAAATGAGAGAAAAGAAAGAGACTGGCTTTTGGTCCATGCTACTCCATTCTTTATGCCAAGAAAAAAAAAAACAAATTATGAGTAAAGAAAATATTTATTTGCTGCTTAAGTAAAATTACAGAATATATTTTGCATCATGGCTAAACATGGTACTGTCTAAAAAAACTATATAAGAGTATTTGAACAACCACAGAGGTTCTTCTAAAATAATTTGTAGTTCAATTGGGAGTTTCTTCTGGATGGGTCTGGTTTTAAAGTATTCTGCTTAAATATGTCATCCTTTGTGTCTTAAATATACATGTATATATATTTAGACCATTATTAGAAGACACTAAGTCAATGTGACTAGTTGTTCTAAATTCAGATTTACTATTTGAGTAGCAAATGTATGAATAACATAATGACCTCAAAATTTGTGAGGTCTAAACCTTTTCAGGGCATTCTATACACTTCTACATTACCTAAGAAGCTACCCAAAATATTACCTTTGGACAAACCTTCTGATTGGGTTTGATTTCCTAATTTGGGTTGATCTGATTTGGTTTGGGTTTGATTCCCCTGCCCAGAAGATTAAAAAAAGGAATATAAAAAGATGATTTAAAGACCTCCTCTCTCCTCATTAGCTGATTCCTTCATTGAAAAGCTTGTGATTAGTTGATTAATATGATATTACAGAAATTAGTTGCAGTTTTTTGACTCACCTTTCTAAGGAAGGTTGATTCAGGTAAGCAAAGTAAAGCAGACCAGAGAGCTACCCACAATCCAAATATGAAAAAGAAGGAGGAGCTCATAATGTCTGAAATCCTCGGAGAAACTGTGCTCCAGACTCAGTTCTGAACCAGAGGGAAAATGTCTGGGCTGCTCCTGGCTGACTCATGCACTCTATCCCAGGTACAGAGCCAAAGCAGCACAAAGAATTCCCAGAAGTCTCATTTCCACACAAGAAATGACTCTTCAGAAGAGCTCGGGGGTATGGCAGAGGATATATCAGGTGAGAGTGGGGTGTCTGTCAGAGTGCAGTGATGACATGGGACTCCACAGAGGCTCCCAGTGAGTGTGACAGATCAAACTGCCTCAAAGGACAGAGGCTCCCAGTGAGTGTGACAGATCAAACTGCCTCAAAGGGCTGTCATGAGTCATTTTGTGCAAGTTCTAATGAGGGACCACTGTGTACAGCAGTGTTGTTACAGAAAGAAAGGAGTCAGTTGTTTGCTCATGGTCCTTATGGTGCCGGCAATCCCAAGCCAGGGAACATGGGGTTACATCTCCTGGGAGTTCTGGTCTCTGTTTAACATCATTTGGAGTTTGTATCACTAAATGTACACCTTCCATATTTGTCCCTTAGTCTAGCTGCTAGGGGTTTGCAGATTTTTATTCCTTGTTCCTAATAATTGTTACAGCCGTGAGGGAGATGATTTGGCTGAGCTGACTGAGATAAATGACCCAGCTCTTCATCCTGAGCACAAAACTCTCCAGCCTGAAGCTGACTCCACTGATGAGTTAAAAACTTGCCATCCAGCTGTTCCAGCTGCTAATTCATCAATTACAAACCATGTAATTTATGACTAGGACTGAAGTTGAGTGTGTCATGATCAAAAGCCCTGCAGTAAGACAAGGGCTCCGTGATGTTCTGAATTATCTGGCAGTTCTCTCTGCACGATCCTGGGTGGATTGCAATCAGCCAGTGAAGTAATGCAGAGGACCTTTCTCCTTCTGGAACTATGGGGAGTGCTGCCATTTATCTCAGAAGGAACAGAATCAGCTCCAAACCCTTCATTTGTGCATTACTTAATCTCTGTACTGAGAACTGGTTGGCTGACACTTGCATTTGGAAGTCAAAGACTATCCTGAGAGAAACCTGAGGTGCAAGAAACCTTTGCCATAATTTGGGCAAAGCTCAGCACGTTTGTGATTGCCAGAGTTTGATCTGTCACCTCTCAAGAGCGACACTGTGTTTGATGAATGAGACTCTAATTGAATTCAAGCAAATAAATTGCAGGTTACAGAGCAAGCTGAAATGAAAAAGAAATGTTCTTACACATTTTGATGCTTTCGTGTTCCTATCTTACAGAGACAAAAAAGAAACAAGACATAGACAATCAGTCATTTTATATCCATGCACTGCTATTTATAGGGAAGGTATGTTTTATTACAATTGGATCTTTATTGATAGAGAGATAGAGCATGAAACCTCAGATATTTTTCTTTCCTTATATCTCCCATTCATAAGCAAAGAAAGAGGGCAAGCACAAAAAATATATTTGTAACTACTAGAAACAAAATCATTTGTTTTGCCAGAATTTATAGAAGTTCCTGGCTTTTCATTTCTCTTCTAGGGTTTTGAACTCTGCTTCTGTGCTGGAGGGGGAACAGTCTTTTAACCAGGTGGCTCATCCCAAAGCCTTCAGAGTTCTTGAGTCAAGCATTTAAGATCAATACATTTCTTTAATAATCACGTTGATAAAAAAGACACACTTTAATTTGGATTTGGGGTTCAGAGGTTTCACGTTTCCTAGCAGAAATGTCAGAGGAAGAGGCTTTCTTCTTGTAACAAATGAGGATTTGAGGCATCCACAGGATGAAGTTAAGCTTCTGAGAAACATAACAAATAATATCACCACAATAATAAAGAATAATAAAGAATACAAAATTACTTTGTAAACCATTTTTTTTTAATTGTTAATTGTGTTGAACTTTTATTTTGAAAATAATCATCCTGGTTCCTGTTTTTAAAGACAGAAAGGACTTGTTCAGCTGTCCAAACAGATTAGAGAATGTGCTGGTCACCTGAAATTCTACATTTGTACATACTTGCTTAGTTCTGGTTGAAGAATTATTTCATTAGCTGAGAGAGCTAATTAATAATGCTGATATCAATTTTTTGGTTCCATAGCTCATGCCATAGACCTCAGAATCTCTTCACGAACTCAATCACAGATTTTCTTTCCTACAGAAGGTGCCCACGAGATAGGTTAATTTCTATCCAGTTTCCAGATAAAAATATGCAATGTCCAAGCTCATAATTGCTTCAGTCTGTGACAGATGTGGCAGGTCTACAGCTGCATTACTTGATTTTGTGTTAAGGCGCCCCAGGTCCCGTGGTAATATCAGCATTTGAGACACACATGCTGCCAAATCAAAGTGGGCCTTTCCTGAGCTTGTTACAAGTAAGAAACAGCTAACAATAATTAAAAGGGAGATTAAACTCTGTAATTGTTATGCTCATTAGTTGGCTAATGATGGATTTCATACTGAGGTGGTCACAACTATTTGCTCAAGCTATTCTGAGGCAAGAAGTTGCCTACCACAGCACTCCTTCTTCTTTCTTGACCAGAAATGGCTGGGACATGGAAAAAGTACTTGGGAAAACTGGAGATCACTGCCTTTTACCAGAGCTGGATGATTGAGAGGTCTTTGAGAGCACTGTGCTTCAAGGGCTATCGTACCATCAACTTGTTTAGCTGAATTTAATTTTCCCTTAGTTCTAGAGCTCAGCAAAATCACATGGCAGAATCATATGTTACAGCCATATGGCATAGTAATTTTTATACAGATAGCAGCAACAAGCTGATAGTCTGTGTATTCTGACATATTTATAGCCTTGGTG